ATTGTTGTTTGCTGTCAGTACAGTTCATCTCTTAGACAGATGCTGGAGTTCTTGTGCATGGCCACCCAGACTATGCTCCATCAAAGTGGATCATTGTGCCCAACAACCAAAGTCCCTCTGTTTGTAAAGGAACCTTGGAGGGACATAACAGAGTATTGCTGTAAGGCACAAAAAAGCTTTAAGCCTATATGAACTCAGAGTGGGGGTGGGGAGGAATGTATGAAACCAGCATAACAGAAGCAGAGGGGGTCGTCATAAATCTGAGAAGGGTGATTCAGGGGGTGCACTGTCTTTCTAAATATTCCTTTCTAGCTCTCCTCCCCCTGCCCCAGTGATCCTGAAGCTGCGATCATACATTGACCTCTGGCCCTCCCGCCACTCCTTTGTTGCCCACTCAGCCACATGGGATCATGCCCCAATAAATCACAGACTTCTGGAACCTATACTGACCCTTGTAACACTAAGAGAGTGAAGGATCACACAGCTTCATTCAGACTATCATGAAAACACAAAAAGGAAAATGACACCGACATGCACACTTTAAAAACATCGTAGAAGCCAAAGGTCGTACAGCATCCTGTGGCAGAAACAAGAACTCCTCTTTATCTCTAAAACTGCAGCTGGGAGCTTGTGTTTGATATGTTCTTTCTCTGTTATTAAAGGTTCTATTTGATAGCTGGTGGAGTTCCTCTTATCATTTGTGGGATCACTGCAGCTGTCAATGTTAACAACTACGGAGACAACAGCCCTTAGTAAGTACTTCTCTTTTTATCCTTGAAACATTTGGCCCTTGACTTTGTGTTATTTTGCGTGGTGCTGAAGTACATAATTCTGTGTGATATGTTGAATACACAGTCATGTTCTTGTTTCTCACTGACCCTCCTGACTTCTTTTCTGCCTCTTGCAGCTGCTGGTTGGTGTGGCGCCCCAGTCTGGGGTCTTTCTTTGTCCCTGCTGGCCTAGTGGTATTGGTGACCTGGATCTATTTCCTGTGCACTGTGTTTCGCCTGAGGCACCGTGAGGCCAAAGAATGCACCGGAACCACCCTATCCTCTCCTGTGACTGAGAGCCAGCCTGCATTGGCAGGAAGCACCAGCCTCCTCTCCACAGACTCAGCGGTGGGACCTATAAGCCCTGTTGTGGCACCAGAGGACCAGTATTCACTGAAGACACAGTTCTTGGTGCTGGTGGCAACCCACTTCCTGTTTGTGGTTCTGTGGTGTTGTGGAGCCATGGCAATGTGGCTGACAGGGCACACTAGCTTGTTGTTTAGCTGTCTGTATGGGATGGCTGCCATTGTATTGGGGGTGTTTCTGGTGGTGCACCACTGCTTCCGACGTCTGGATGTGCAGGCCTCATGGCTGGCATGTTGCCCGGGCTATCGCCGCTCCCATCCCATGTCTACTTACACACATACCTGCACTACCGGGAGTGGGGTGCAGACCTCTGAGCAGGGATCACAACTTTTCATCAACTGCCATCCACCTGGTGACTCTCATAACTCCTCATCAGCTCGATCATCGTCCACACCAAGTGGAATCAGCAGTGTTGGCCCCGGGCCCTGCAAGCTCACTAATCTGTTGCAGGTGGCACAAGACAATCCAAACAACACTTCACGTGCCCCGGCTGGCAACAACACTAGCACCAGTACGGACAACATCACCAAGCCAACAAACAATATTCTGCCCACCATTAACTCTGCAGCCCCAGTGCATCCACAGAGAAGGAAAGTGAGTAGCAGAACTAAACAAGGAAGCAGCCAGTATCACCATCGGGGTGAAGGCAGAGGTCACTATCGTCTCAAAGCCCTAAGGACTGCTGGAGGTGGGGGCAGTCTAGGGGCTTTAGGACCCACTGGTTTAGAACACCTCAGTGCTTCACATGCAGTTTACAAACAGGCCACAAGTGAGAATGGTAGCATCCACCACAGCCTTTCAGAGAACCAGGCTAGCCCGCTTACAAATGGGAAGCGCGTTGGAGAGTCAGTTGCAACCAGCCCTTCAGAGGGAAGTGATGGGGGGAGCAGCGGGAGCCGTAAACCCTTCCCCCTGCTGCCCACTATGGCCAGCAGAGCGGCCATGCACGGTGCTCAGAGACGATGCGCTAGCAGAGACAATTTGAAACTGGCAGCTGCTGCAGAGCGAGATACTAAGCGCTGCTCCTACCCTTTGAACAGTGTCACCACCACTGTGCCAGGGGCCGCAGCTCCAAATGGCACCCTCAAAAACTCAGTGCTCGAGCTGGAGCAGGACATGAGTGGCACAGACCAATCCCAGAGCTCCGTTGGAATGAAGAGTGGTTTGTGGAAAAGTGAAACCACAGTGTAACCTATACTTATATGTGAACTTCTATGCATGACCTTAATGGACTCTTAAATGATTGGGTTATGTTTTAATGGTCTCTTGATTATAATAATTATGTAATTTAAGATATAAAATCATGAAGGCATCCAGGACCCTAAACTGGTACTTTTGCCTCGGTAGCATTGTAAGAGTTTGCTGTGAAATGGTAAAAAAATAATAAGGCAGGTTCTTTAATTGTCATTTTCAAACATAAGATACTCACTTATTTTATTCATTTCACAAAAAAAATTTACAAGATATCTCTGAAATTGGCATATGATGTTGATTTTGGATGTCTGATGAAAGCTTTACTGTTTTAGATGTATTTTTTCTATGCATATCAACTATAGCATGAAATGGAATGCAAGCTGGTCCATTTCCAAAGTACAGCTATATGCATTTAATCTGTGGACAACTTTTCACCCTTATGTTTGCTTCAAGTAATTGTTTGTGTGTGCGCATGTATGCTTTTGAATGTTGTGTGCGTGCGTGCGTGCGTGCGTGTGTGTGTGTGTGTGTGTGTGCACATGCACAGGAGAGAGTAATTGCATGAGTGTGGCTGTACAGAATCTCAGAGTGAATTAAAAAAGCTATGCGAGACTTTTGAATATATGATGTAAAATGTTTCATTTTTATTTCTATGTAGTCCCATCAGCACTGACAGATATCCCCTTATTTAATAAATTCGGAAAGAAAGGGGGGAAACTAATTGGCTTTCTCTCACCCAGTCACTTGATTCAATGAGAAAACTTTTTCTGTTCTATTACATGCATGAATGGCTGCCCCCTCCTGGTTGGCAGAGAAACTTCTCAGTCATTGTCAGGGATTAGAAATGTGTTAGTTTTGTAAGTCAGGAAAATCACACAGGTTTTGCAATGACAAACTCATCCAACCCATGCTGACTTACTCAACCATCTAACTATAATTTCAGAGGCATTGGTATTAAAAGGTCTCAAAGGAGTAACCACAAAATACTTTTCACAGAAAACCTCACAGCATGCAGATCAAAGCTTTTTGAATGACTTCACATTTATGTGGATTTCCAACTACTAAGCTGAACTTCTATTTTTTAGACAGTTTGAAACCTTTGCAATTCAGGACATTACATTAACAGGAAATAGTGTTTCTACTATGCAGCTCCTCATCACAGCTGTTTCCCATTGTTCTTCTGGAGGAAGTCTTCATGAAATCCAGAGACTCACATACTGTATGTTGCTACTGTTATGTGTTTTAATATGGTCAGTCTGGTGTGCATACTTTTGTATGTCCTGTGTGAAGTATGAGCTTTTTTTTTATCAGCCCCACGCAGCATGTAGTCAGGATATAAATAATGAAAATGATCTTCTATTCCATGACAGATTTATATTGAATTTCTCATCAAAAACAAATATAAATATTAAGACAGACTTGTCTTGTAATTTTGAAGTCAGTCTGTTCAGGTACTTAATGTATCTGGTGTAGATACTGTGACCTGTGTACACGTTCTTTTATGGCCACGGCTGAGTTACCTATATCTAATCTTGACTTTGCCACTGTATCACTAACTCTGATTTTGTACGCAAGACAAACAAAATGTTTATTTAACCATTATAAGACACGTTTTAAAAAATAATCTTACTGATTTTTTATCTAATGTGTGAGAAAATACATGCTATGTTGATGAAGTATGGAGCCACTGTCAATAATTCAAATTTTTAATTCAGAATCAGAATCAGAATCTGAATTGGTTTATTGCCAAGTAAGGTTTTTACATGTACAAGGAATTTGTTTTGGTGCATTGGTGCATAGAAATCACACAAAAATATATTTTTATTATTATTATTATTATTATTATAAATAATATTTCAAAATATAAATAAATAAAGATAAGGATGAATATAGAAAGATCCAAAACTGTACAGGAAAGTACAGTAATTATTTATAAGTGTGCTAAATATCCCAGTCCTCTCTCTTACTGAAACATTGTTTATTTTACATACTATACAAGGCCATGAAAAGCCTTGAAAATGTGTTGATATGAAACAATTTGTTTTTTGCCCCAGTAATGATCAGCTATTATATATCAATTTGCACTTCTCGAGGAAGGCCTTGTGGGCAAATCAAGTCCCAATACTAAGATGGAAGTGAGAGATAAAAGATTGCATCCTGCTTTGCTCTGGATGACTCACTATTTATAATGTTATCAGTCATAACCTGATACTGTTCCCTGAGCTTCCTCAAACAAATAAGACCATCATTTTATCAGATTTGTTTTGCCAAAACGTTCCTCTCAGTAAGAAAAAGGAAGATTTTCATATCTATTTGGCTATTATAACTGAATTCCCTGCAGTTAATATGATATTTTTTAAATCTCTCTTTAATTCGATAATATATTTTTAAGGAAACCTCAGACTAAGCCATAAGAATTTAAGTCATTTTAGTGATAAATTATCATCACTGGACTCAGTTCAGTGTTAATTATTGTCCCATTGAAGTCTTCCATGACTTTTGCTTGGATAAACTGATTCCTGATCAGTATCTGACAGTGCTACTTAACGGTCCACGATGTCGCAACGCCCCCCCCTCCTCTCCTCCTCCACCGTCCAATCACAGACGAACATCGAAAAACGGACAGAAATATTAGCCAATCAGGCAGCAATATGTAGAGTATGGGCGGGGACTCGTAACATCAGGGAAGTAAATTGTTGTACATGGGTTCGTGGTTTCATGAAAGCCTCTTAAAGGAATTAACCGTACGGCAGTGATGTCCTGGTTGGGTTACACAGGCTAGTACTAGCGTTAAGTTGGTTAACCGAGTGTTAATGTGTAATTAGAGGCGTGGATATAACGTTACGAAGAGAAGGGAGAAGCATTACGACATCAAACCGAGCTTCCTGAAGTCAAGCTAGGTAAACCTAAACCAGCCGCAGAGGACGCCGAAGCTGGAAAACAAGGAGTTCGGTAAAGGGTTAACCAACACCCCTACGTAGTAAGACATTTTAATAAAACAATTCGGATTAACTTTTTGGTAAAGCTTAACGGACTCTCCGCGATGTCTCTGGCCGACCAGAGCCAGCAGTGGTTCCCGACGAGTGTCCAGGTAACGGTGCATCAGGCTCGGAGTCTGCGTGTGAAGGGCAAGAATGGCACCAACGACGCCTACGCCATCATCCAGGTGGCCAAAGACAAGTTTTCCACCTCTGTGGCTGAGAAAAGTATCGCCCCGGTGTGGAAAGAAGAGGCTTCGTTTGACCTGCCGCTCTTCCACCCGGGCAACGCTGAACGCTGCACTCTCTATATCATTGTAATGCACCGAGCTCAAGTGGGGCTCGACAAGTTCTTGGGTCAGGCTGTGGTGAACTTACTGGATCTTCATGACAACAAGTCTCACAAAAAGACAGAGTAAGTGGCAACAGTAATGTGGGCCAAACTCACTCACGACATTTGATTAAGATTCATATTACGGTTAGGGGTTTCCCCCCTGGGAAGTTATTTTTACACGAGTTCAGACAAGGAATGATTTTTCCTATTTTCCTTTAAGTCCAGCTTCAACCTTAATTCCAGTTTTTTTTTACAGTGCCCTTAAAAGTCCCTGCAAACATAATATGACTACAATGCACGACTTCAGGCTACATCAAACAACTTTAATCCACTTAAAAGCTTGGTTAAACTGCAGAAAATGGATGATTTAAACATTATAAGACACATTTTGAAAAATAATAACCTTAATTCCAGTTTATTTACAGTGCACCATCACCCTTAAATGTCTCTGCAAACATAATATAACTACAATGCACGACTTCAGGCTACATCGTACAACTTTAATCAACTTAAAAGCTTGGTTAAACAGCAGAAAATGGATGGGTAAACAAACATTAGGTCGCCCCTCCCCCCATGTTCCTGGGTTTTATTGATAAACTTGAGCCAAAATGTATATTGCAAAACTCTTTTGTAAAAGTTGTCATTGCTAAGCAGACTTTAAATGGCCCCTCTAAACAATTGGTGCTAAACTGGTAGCAAATATATCTTAAATTTGTTGTTGTGGCTGTGAAATATGAAACTCATTACGATTTCTTTAACATAAGCAGTGGTTGAATTTTGTTGATCTTTATGTGTAGCAGACAGGTAATAAAGACTTATTTAAATTAGGTGTTTTTAGGACACTTTTAGGTGTCCCTCTCCCCAAAACAACTTAACCTCCTCTACATTTTTGTAGTTATACAGTGTCTTAAGTAATCAAGCATTTTATAGAATTCCTTGATTTGCACATATGCATTAACTGTGCAAATTAACCCTTGAGTTTACTCTACATTATACTGGCCATCAGGAGTTTTGTCCATCTAATCAGGTCTAGTTTCAGAGACCAATAGAAACACAAATGAATTATGCAGTCTTTTTTATGACACCTTTTGTGTATACTCAAAATACAGGCCATGTTAAACAGGTCACAAAATACATTAAAAAAGCGAGCTATTCACATTAAAACATTGTTATGGAAACTTTCTCCCCTCCCCCCTGTTATCAGCGTCTGAGAGGAAAAGCAGAAACTATGGAGATATTGCGAAAACAGTCCAGGATGATTCTAATATTGGCACTTCCCTTTGTCTTCTCCCCCTCTGTTGGACCAGCCCTAACATTTAGCTGTCACTTTTACTTCATAACTTGGTGCGACGCCATTATCAACTCTGCCAACTGCCAGTTTTGTGACGGCGGCTGAGCTGGAAATCATTTTCTCACATTGCTGATGTTAATCCTGCACATTCTTCAGGGCTATTTACTAGCATACAATACGTCTGCACACACCCAGATATGTTACATGAGTCAGGATGACATCTGTGGTTTGACGTTGCATAGGTGTAACATGGGTGTAACAAGAAATTTAAAAAATTAAAAGCTGCATTAGTGTTGAATTGGGATATACACTCCCTTCTTATGTAAGTGACGTTTTAAGTTAAGTACTACAGTAGTTAACCTTTCCTAATGTGGCCTTTTTATTTTGACCTTTGTTAAAGACTGAGTGATGCAGTGGTTGTGAGTTCCCAAGTAATTACTCAACAAGGGCAGCCTTGATAAAGCACTAGGATGACCTCACTCACCTGATTATTGTACCATCATATCTGAAACCTTATCTTGTGTTTGCTCAGTACGTTTTTGCACTTTAAAAGGCAAAGTTCATTCCTTGCACTTTATTTTCCAAGTCTGTACTCCTTCACTCTCCTCGCTTGGCTTCTTCCCTCTGTCGTCTGAAGACCCAATATGCAGGCTGGGTATTGGATGTCACTGTTTTCGCCTTGAAGCGTGTGGTGTTCGATTACTATCCTGCTCCACTGTGATGCTGATACGGGATGTGACATTGAGCACTTTGTTATTCTCCTGAAAGGAAGCTCTGCTTGCCTCTCGTACAATAGTGTGTTCAAGATGAAATTAGGTTATTGGGCCTATTAGGATTTGAGTCTATATGAGAATACAGTAGATTCATTTACTGTCACAAATAATAGAATAATAGGTGAATAACTTGGTATCTATTTTAATAAAAAATAGTTCTATATTACATTCAGGTGTTTAGAAATGAAGGAATTTAAATTCAAAAAGGATCTTCTAAAAATTAATTGATAAAGTTCTACCACTAATGGATAATTTTCATGGATGGAACTAATGATTATTTTCTTAATTACTGATCTGCTGCTTATTTACTAGATTACTCTTATTATTTGTTTTGTATATAAACATCAGAAAATGCTGCAAACTTACCCCAGTCATAAAGACTAAAGAAAGACTAAAGATATTCAGTTTACAATAACTTATCATAACAAAAAACAGCAAACACTCAACATTTAGAAACTTATACTACTGACTGTTTGGCATTTTTGCTTGAAAAATACAACTAATCTATTATCAGAATAGTTTTTGAGGTACAGTATTAGGCTAGTTCCAACTGTTGCAAAGCCAGTTTTCCAGAGTCAGGTTCATTTGTTCAGACACCAGAGCCACAATATTTATTTTGTAAACAAAGACACTAAAAATATCCCATCCTGTAGTGTTGTTTTCCTGCAGGCAAACACGCTAACCACCTTCAGAAAATTAAACAAAATATGATCTCCTTGCAAGTGGCTTTAATGAGATTTTTTACTTATATGTTACTACCTGACAAAACCATTCAAATGCAGCTGGTGTTAGTGAGTGTTAAACCAATATTTTGGAGAAGTATTGACCCCCTTCGTTTTATTTGGCTGAATCCACTCTGGTGTCGACGCAGAGGATAAATACAGGCTCCCCTGTTAATCATTAGACATGCCCTTGACAGTTAACCTAGGGAACCTGTCCCACAGGACCGGCTAGAGCGTGCATCGGGCACGGCTCTTTAGTCCTATGGTAACAGAACTGAACATGTACACCCTGTCAGTCTGTTAGTAAACATAACAACGCATTGTCTCTGTACAGTCAACTAAAGTGCGTTCTCTGCCGCAATAGACAAGACGAGAACAACCAGCAGTTTCTTTAAAAGGCGTGAGAAAGCGTGATCTCTGTGCCCTTGTGCTAGGACTTTAGTTAGTGATTGTTTGTCTTGGCCTGCTCAGTTAAGGGTGGGAAATGAGGGATGTTTGAATTAGGCTCAGTGTAACTTTCATTACATCACGTACTGCACAGCACCTCCCTGCATGTTGGAGAGTGTTTGAGGAATGTTGGTTCACTCCCATGCTTGTTTCCTGACTGTTTATCCTTTAGAAGAGCCTGGCTGGACGTCTGCTACAGTGTAAGACACTGAAATGAAAGCTGCAGCACTCCACATGAACTGCAGATCACTGTCTGGTTAATGTCACACCATCCTTTTACAGTTATATTATTCTACACTTCACTTTTTCAAAACTTACCAGCATAACATAAGCGTGGACTAAACTACAAATGATTTTCATTGCTTTGACACAAAATTCAACTAGATAAATATGCCAACAACTTAAACAGTGCTTCCTTTCAAAAGTTTTTTTTTTAAATTGTTGTTTAAACACTTTAAACTGACCTGAAATACTCAAACTATTCAAAGAGATATTGTTGTTAATTGTTGAGTTATAAAGTTAGAATTGCTAATAAGAAGAGCTCCCCTGAATACACGCTGCAAAGCTTTGCTTTGAACGTAGCGCTACATTGCAGCAAAAATAATATTGTTGCCTATTGAAGTTACAACAGTTGTTTCAGTTATGCACTAGTATGGCTATATGTGAAAAATTCATATTGTACGGGAAATTAAAACTCATCTGGTATATTACCCGGCACTATTTACCAGTCCATTTTGTACATGTTTGCATGCTTTTGTACATTTTGTTAAATTTATGTTCAAAACCACAAAATTATCCTATTTTACTGTAGTTGCTTTATCTACAGCTTAGAAGAAATAAAAACAGAATTCATAAACACTTAATTGCACATATTCTCTTTCCTCGATGACCTCAGTGTAAGATTTGTACCAGCTGAGGAAAAGGGGGCGACTGAGGCTGTTGTAATTTTATTGGACTGTGTGGCATCTCACCAATCTCTTCCAGTCATTGAGTGGTTTTATAGTCCATTCCAAGATGGTGTCACTTCACTTTTCCTTCCACCCCATCTCTCAAGTCTCCAACCCCATGGAGGAATTAAAAAAGCCACATGTCCGTCTCGGATGCAGTGAATGCTGGATGTCTGGACCTATCTGAAGAAGGTTGTCAGGGATCGAAAAAGATTCTTTCCCAGGTGTTTTGCAAGTGAGGACACAAGGTGTGAACTTGAGGCCTAATGCAAGCATATGTATAGTGAATATGAATAGTTTTATATTGCATTACTGGAATTACTTTAGCTTCCTTTTGTCAACTTGGAAAATTGGTAAAAAAATAAAGCTTATTTAAGGATATTGCAGCATTTATTTCTGTGACATACTGTAAAGTAGCTCTTCTTTTTGTTGTAATGGAATCTCGGTTTATGGTAAATAAATAAAAGATGCCTCAAAGTCAATAGTGATAATGCTACCTGTTGTTGTGGGGATGTTTTAGTCATTGTGTAGTGAGTGACAAGGTATTTCTGTTGGCAGACAAATGAGTGTTTTGGTATAAGGGTTGATCCTGAGGTGTGTAGGAAGTGTTTGGGTTGCATGATTGCATTTTGGATGTGAGATTAACAGTTGCTCTGGGCTGCATGCCGGCAAAGAGAACTATCTGAACAGTGTTGAAAAAGAGAACTGGGTGTAGTGAAATGTGTGATCAATTGTAAAAATAATAAGTGAAACAGTTGGAGGGCTCTGCTGTGGAACAAAAGAGTTCAAAAGGGGAAAGGCTTGACATAATGGGCACTTCTGCTACAGTATTGGTACATCTAAAAATAGCAGGACTTCAATTATACAATCATAAAGCGTCTGTATGTAATGGCACTAATGGCTTGTTTTGGCGTGGATTTAGAAAGGGCTCTCCAGAACACTCCTACCTCTCCCTTGCAGACAATAAGTGCTGATCCTGTAAAACAGAGAGGACATGAGGCGGGAGCATGAACAAAGCTGTAATTGTCAGGCTTTATCTGTGGTTGGCATGGTTGGCCCAGCAGGAACTGGAACAAGCTGTACGCTGGTTAATGATACCTATCAGTCTCGGGTCTAACAAGACACAGCAGACTAACCCCGGCTGATTTGAAACATGTAACGTCAAAGCTATTAGGCACTAATGCATTTATACTGGGGATTTATTTACAGTGTGTTGGGAATTTGTTTTAATTCAACTTGCGTTTAACCTCATTTAATCCCACTTTAAGTGAACCTATACGACACGACTTTTTGGGTTTGTAGGAACACTAACAACACAGTTGAACTTAAGATTTAAAGGGACTTATGTTAGCAGTGTTAGTCCGTAACTAATGATTATTTCAATTACTGATTAATCTGTTAAATTTCTTTATTAATCAGTAAATGGCTGGTTTGTACAGAAATTTGAGTCCAAAGCCCACAGTGATGTCTTCAAATTGTTTTGTCTGATCAACAGTGTGATACTATTTAAATTAATTATTGACTAATTGTTTAATCCATTAATTGTTTCAGATCTGGTTTAGTGTTTGTTAGAAGTTGAGCACAGTGGACTAAATAAGCTTGGAACTGAAGATAAGTTTTAATGTTTATAAATCAATTCATTCTTTTTTTGGTTAAACACCTAATTAATTAACATGTTCTGAAAGCATGGCAAATTGGAAAAAAGCGATTTTAAATTAACTAATCAGAAATGTTGACGATTATTTTTTGTCAAACAACTAATCAGTTCATCTAAAAATATCATCGTGGCTGTATCAGAAAATGTTCTTTACCACTGTTGTATTTGCAACTTGCAAAAAAATTTCAGTTATTTCAGTTATTTCATGTTCAAATCAACTTGTTACATACAGTTTTTAGGTAGTTATCACTCTATTGCCATGTTTTTTTTGTAAAATAAGCCTTGAAGGGTGAATATGAGGCTAAATTACCTGAATGTAATGTGGGTTTATTGCAGTGTAATGGAAAATATGTCCAAAATTTAGTCATTTATTCTCAGAAAGTTCCTATGATCTTGCAAAACTTCCATCTTAAACATCTGATTCATTTTGTCTGTCATTTGCAGTTGGTTCAAGCTGGTGGACAAGACTGGGAAAGAGGACAAGGCGCGAGGAGAGGTGCTGCTAGATATCCAATTTATGAGAAACAACATGTCAGCTAGCATGTTTGACCTTTCTATGCAGGACAAACCTCGCTCCCGCATCTCCAAGCTGAAAGACAAAGTCCGTGGGAAGAAAAAGGATGGCTTCTCTGATTCGGCCTCAGCTATTGTTCCCTCTGTCAGCCAGGTCCTCACGGACAGTGACGCTGAGGCAGATTCACAGTCACTCAATCAGTCTCCAGGAGTGAAAAAGAAATCTAAGCTCAAAACGCTCTTTGCTCCCAAATCAAACTTGCAGCGTAACATCTCGCAGTCCATGTCTACACTGGGCACTCTTCCCGAGAAGAATTCATCTCTCAGTGGCAGCCGCTCATCTGGCCTCAATGTAGACTCCCCTGAAGGTAACTTAATCTCTCTATACTCAGTGTGTACTGTATGTTGACAGTTCTGTCTTTCCTCCGCTGCACAGTGCAACGTATGTAATGGTACTTTGCATGTTAACAATAACACCATGCTTCACTCTCTCTCCTCCCACAGTTAAAAAGAAATTCAAATTCTTGGGACACAAGCGAACAGGCAGCTCTGACAGCAAGGTGTCTCAGGGTCCTTTCTCCCTACTGGGTCGCTCCAAACAGAGCGCCAGTGACCTGAACAACCTGTGCATCAACGGCAGCCATGTATACACAGAGGAGGAGTCCAAGAGTGGATCTACTCTCAGTCTGAACAGCTCAGGCCAAGGATCTGTGGAGGATGTCCGCAAACACACCTCTGATGCAGATTCCTTTATCACTGTACCTGTCCCTTCCCTACAGATAGAGTCTCCAGATAGGGCAATACTAGAGCAACAGCGCCATCAAGAGGAGGAGGCGAGAAGACAGGCAGAAGCAAGGCGCATAGCAGAGGCCAAGAGGCTGGAGGGAGAGGAGAAATACAAGGCAGAGGCCAAGAGACTGCAGCAGGAAGAGGAGCGCAGATACCAAGAGGAACAGGAGAGGAAGAAACGCTTCCTTGAGGATGAAACAAGGAGGAAGAAACAGAGGGAGGAGGAGGAAGAGAGAAGAAAGCAAGAGGAAGAACGCAGGATGCTGGAAGCAGCAGAAACCCAGAGGCTTGAGGAGGAGCGTCGCAGAGTAGAGGAACAGAAACGACAGGAGGAGGCGTCCATGAGCGACAGGCTGTCTTCTCTGTTTGGAATGATCAGAAAGAAGGAGGACAAAAAGGAGGAGGTACAGGAACCTACTAAAGAGGAGCCCCCAACACAAGCACCCCCCTCAAGAGATCCTGATCAACCGATCTCCCACCACTCCACCAACCCGTTTGAGGACATCCCCCTCAGCTCAGATCCTCCTGTTAGCACTAATGAAAGCCCAGCTGATCATCAAAAATCCAGCCGCAACCCACAAACACCCTCTGCCATGGTCTTCCTCAACCGCACCGCTAAAGTGTCTGCAGTCAAACCCAGGTAGGCCTTTTTCTTCTCATTTGGTTGCATTATATTCTCAGCAAGTTACTCTGTACTGTTATGTACTTATGTTACTGTTATGTCAGTGTTTATGTCACTGGAGAGGCTATTGGTTGCTTACAGTCACACTATTCTTAGACTTGCTTGACTGGAATTTGAATACTGCCTCACAATTGAAACTACACATGCAGTTGCCTTTTTGGTGGTATGCGCATTTTATTTTAACTTGAAAAAAATAAAAAATTTTGAAAGAGTGCTTTTTGTTGCTTCTTTATCCACGCACAAGTAAGAGGCACATATAAGGGAGAACTGTTATTTAAGAGAACCAAAACACCTTGTGATGATCAAGTTTATCCCTACACCATGTCTGAGTGTCAACACTGAAACTTGGGAATTTCACACCTTTCTGTCCTGTTTCTGTTCACGTTGACCCAACCATGTGACTGTCTTGAATTACTAAAACTCTGAATTCCACCCAACGGTTGATGGACCTGTCCGACCAGTTTGGTCTTTGTACAGATGAGAATCTGGGTGTGGCTTGTGTTGGTGAAGATGTTGTGAAACAGGTAGTGGACTGAACAGAGCTCTTAAGGAGTGACTGCGACACAGTCTTACCTTCTTTGTGGAAGTCTTGGGTGGTTGTATCTTATTTTTACATTTGTCATAGATGTTTGTGGACTAGATTGGACTGGATTTTTTATATGTGAATCTCTATGGTAAGGGTCTTACGCTTGTTATTGCCACTGATGTAACAGTGGTTCTTGTTTTCAAGAGTCGTTTCTAGATGGAACATAGTAGCCTAGGAATTTAACATTTGTATTATTCTGTTGTGATATTTTTTACCTTTTGATGCCATGTAGGACTACCTAATATAATCTAAGTAGGATCATTTTACAGCAGAAATGTGACATTGTAGTCTTTTTGTATTGGACAGTGTACATTTTTTCCACTGTGAGCAAGTCATAGCTAAAAATAGAAACAGTAACCGCAAGACATGTGAATATTAGAAGTTGAATTGTCTAGTGCAGAGTTATATATTGAACTGTCAAAGGGCTACATTATGTGGGTCTAAAAATGGGAATTTCATATTTTTTGTTTACCCACTTGTTGACATGTGAGATGCTAGTAAAATTGGTGACGGGTTGTACATTGGTGGAAATGACTTTAGGTGATGTGATGGTCGCACTGACCTGTAGGCCTTTGTTTTCACTTTTTGGCAGATGGGCTCAATCTCTGGAGTCTGAACCCGCTGACTCCCAAACCCCCAGTCAGCTGTGTCCTTCCCCAGCCACCTCTGAGTCCACTCTCTCTAGTGTCCCATCTGCGTCCCCTGATACTTTCTACAACCTCCACTCATCCCTGGCTCCACCAAACATAAGTCAAAGCCCGTCTGGTTCCCCTCGTGGCAGCGTAGAGAATTTGTCCTCTGTGGGATCTTCACCCACCATGGCGGATAAGAAGAAAAGAGCCCCATTGCCACCCTCGCAATCAGTTTATGGGACCCAAACTGGAGGCAATCACGTTCCTGTCAGAGAGATCAATAACCCTGCATACGTAGAGGTAGATGGGTTGCAGCAAGACAAAAAATTGTCTCTACCACTCCCTGATTATGAAACCCTATTTCCTCAGAAAAGACACGGAGTGCAAGGGCAAACTCGTTGGGACCACATAATCGCTGAGGTCAATCAGAGACAAATGGTTAGTCCACCTGAATTTCTGGGTCCAGAGATGAGTGTGGACGGCCCAGAGGAGCCTGACCCCAGTCTTAAATCGTCACTCCGTCAGGAGAGTCCTGCTACGAGGCATTATCAAAAACAGATTCAGGAGACTAAACCTGTGTCATCAAAAAGAGTAGCTGCCCCAGCTCCCCCTAAATCAGTCACAACTCCACACCCTCGATCAGTTGCAGATTCCAGTCAAAGACAGAGCCAGAATAATGCCCATCAATCTCTTGTGAGTCCTAATCAGTCTGCAGTCCCAGGACCTGTGAACACTGATGCTTCAAACAGAGAAAGTCTCTCAGTGAGGTCTAGGGATGGAGCAAGGAAGGCATTGCAACCACCTGCACCCAGACCAACTAGCCAGATTGATCAAGGAAAAATGCAAGTCACTGTGAACAACGAGGCACCCACAGCCAAACCCAGACAGAGGGTTAGTGGCAAAGAGCCCTTACAGCAAGAAGGCTCTGCAGGGACACCAGCAGTCTCTCTGAACAGTAACATCCAGACATTATCTAATTCAAGTATGAGCAGCATGGACAAAAAAGGTGTGCAGACAACAGAGGACTTTGCAGAGTTTGACCCATTCCCCAATACTGAGCTTGTTTCTAAAGACCCTTGGGCACAGCCAAAGCAGAACCAAGAAGTAGATTACCTTTTTACCGGCAATGTACAAGAAGAGCAGAAACTTGAAGATCTGGGAATGACAGCAGATGATCTCGATAACATTTTTCGTCCAGAGAAACCAATCGACCCCTTTGCAAGTTTTAATGGCAGTGATTCAAACAAACACAATGACAAGGAACAGGGAAACAGGGAAAAAGATGAAAATTCAAAGCAAGTCGGTCCTGCTTTCCAAAGAAGGAATTCACAGAGACGAACACTTATTCCTCCGTCCTCAGCTCACCCAGATAATAAGACTGTCAAGTCTCAACAAGAACCCGCATATAAACAAGAAAAAAACATAACCACAGCTAATCAAGGCTTCTCCGCAAGAGATGCCACAAATGAGTATATTACTCCGAAGTTTCAAGCTGAAGTGAAAACTCCAAGCAATTTGTATAGAAGAGAGGATCCATTTGGAGCTGAACCTTTTACTGTAACCTCTGCCTCAACCTCCTCAGATCCCCTCCAGGTTGTTATGGAGGAACCCGAATCTCAGGCAGTAGGTTTGTCGGGTGGAAAGGCACCTTTGAGGGCATGGGTCTCACCCTCTGACATTCAGCCTGTCAGTGCTCAGAATAGCAATGGAGGTGGGCTAGCCTTAACACGCAGGTGAGATTGAACAGGGTGATTATCTAGACCTTGTACATGGCATCTGCCTGCTGTTGTTGTATGTGAGGCAGATAAGGTGTTGGGTTTATCTTGGGTGTGACTGTTTTGGAAGCTTGTGATCACTTGTCAGCTGTCCTTTTGAGTTTAATTCTGAACATTGGGCTTTGGGCCGTATGATTTGGAAGATTTGCAGAACACTTAGTTACATGTTTTTAACATTTCTCTTTTGCTTCTAATATTATTTTTTTATTATTTTCTTTGAAGCTTCTGAGAATATTGTCAGACTTGTTGCAGTAATCTTTTATAGAGCTTACAGGGCTTTATAACAATGTATACACCTTCTTTACAGGCCTCATCCTGTGAAGCCCATGAGCTCAGTTGAGAACCAGCATCCCATAAGCACCCCTGCTGTGAAAGAGATTAAGGTCCGGGACAGCACACCAGGGAAGATTCAGGTACTATCATCTTGACATAAAAGACATACTGTGACCAACAAACCAACAGATTTATTGACATATCCCCTCACAACAACTTAATTGGATTTTCCTGCAGCAGGAACTCTGGGTGGCATTATATGAAATCTGTGTTCCATAACATATTCTGTAGTTGAAATAATAATAATGTCCGTCACAACTGGCAGCTTCACAGTGAAGGATCTTGCGGCATTGAACTCTGAAAATGTTAAATATTTAGCTCGAAGGTTCTTTTTTGATCTTGGGAATAGCAGTTTGACAAAAAAATCTTATCAAAAGGTCCACAATACCTTGTTTTTCCACTCAAAAGACAGAGTTGTACTATATTCACTTGTCCTCACTCCCCTCAGGTTGCAGACTCGGGGGAAAGTGGACCCTACACCCAGCTGACGCAGGAAGAGTTGATCACACTGGTGGTAAAGCAGCAAACCGACCTGTCCAGGAAGGACGCGAAAATCGTCGAGCTGGAGGAGTACATAGACAACCTGCTGGTCCGCGTCATAGACGAGAAACCCACTATCCTGCAATCTCTTAACGCTAAGCCAGTGTGAGGTAATGTCTGCTGGAGGACCCAGTTCTGTTTGTTGTGTATGTGTTTGTACTGGTGTCACTGGGTACTGAGAAGACATGATCTCTATGAAGGTCTACTACCATATGCACTTTTTAGTTTCAGAGTCAAGTTTGTTTGAGAATGCTGGAAAATTGTCTCTGAAGTAATAACATTTGGTGATTACCTAATAACAAGCAAGTAATACAATCTTTATATAGGCAAATGAATGTATTTGTTTTGACACTAAGGTACTGGAATTTGCTTTAAAAAACTTGTTATATTACAACATATTATTCAACATCTTGATTTATATACCATACTTGATGAAACTTGGGTTGAGCTTTATTTAATATACTAATAATGCAGAGTTTTTTAAACTATTATCTGGCCTTTATACTCTTTACACTGGGTTTTGTGTAACTTGTTGCTGTGTGATGAATGATCATATACATAACCTTATACAACCATTCCAAAATAATGCATGGTCTTGATGAGGTAAGAATGTAGTATTTCTCTCGTATGACTATATTTGCAATACATTGTTTAATTCACTGCATTTCTGCAGGTCGAAACTATGAATTATGGCCTCATGAGTTGAGTCAAGATTAATATTGTTTATATAACAAGTGCACATTGACTTTTCACTCCACCACTGCAGTCTTTTATTATCTTTGTTGATCCTTATGGCGGGCATGTATTTTTTTAAATCGGATAATTAACAACATTCCTCCCATGTTTTACTCACCACAGTCGAATGTCAGCTGGTCATCCAGTCCTTATAAAGCTATTGTGCCTATTTTTGCTTCAAAGAGGTGTTATTTAGAAAACCAGCAATAAATAAAAGCAAGCAGCTACTATGTACTGTATATAGTGTGTGAACCACACAGTTATAAGTGTTTTTCTTTCATGTGGTTGTAATTTAGCCTGTGCACATAGTTTGAAATATTATGCAAGTAAGAGTACAGACTCAAACTGTGTTTGTGTTGTATTTATAAAATGAAAAACAAGAGATAATCAAAAAGTAATAATCAATAATAACCAACCAGCCTTGTCTTTGTATTTGAACTACACTAATGAATTAACCCTGCATCAACGCCATTATATGACAATATTATGTTATGTCTTGGCAGAAATTATAGCAATATTATTCTTTCATGTACAGACCTGTGCCTTCAAAACCTTTTTCATGACTTTTCTGTCTTATTTTCTGGATGGACAGTTGTTGGCTACCTCTTCTTCTTTTTCTGAAGTGAGAGCTTAAAGAATGTGCAGCCTGATGTATCGAGTGTTTGTCTGACACGATGATAATACTACAGTTGATGTAAGATTTCCGAAAGAAGTGATGCTGAGCAAAATGTGGTTTTATTTTAAATAAAGACACTAATTATTTCACCAGATTGTTTGTATCTGCAATTACTTACAATTATTTCCAATTTTATTGTGTACATGTTGAAACAAATATAAGTATATTATATTTTAATCTAAAGAATTACACACAAGCTACATGTTGCATTAACAACTCCAGTTTATATTGCCATCATGTTTTGTGTTTTTCCTAGCAGTTTCCTTCTTATGTTACATATGAGTAGCTCTCACAAGAATAAGAAAGACATTTTGCCATGGAAACATATACAGCATGTTTTATTGTACACAACAGCTGCTTTCAGACCAACTAATCTTATTAGTGGCGCAAGTTTGCAAATGATTTCTATAATACTGTACATTTGTACACATATATATTTGTTTGTCAACAAATCCCATGAAAAAACAGGAAACAACATGATCACTTTTTATGATAAACGGACACATCCATCCTACATACATCATCCTGCTGCCACAAATACTTCGAAGAAGATAAATTCCGCAGCTTAAAATACTCCCCAAAAAATTCAGAATTTAGTCCTGGATGGGTAAAATTAGCGGAACTACAGTGACCAGTTGTTAGACCATAATTAGGAATGAACTGACCGGTGCTGAGAGCCACAGAAAGACCAGATAGAAGTATTGAGAGAATACATTGTTGGTTAAGCTCCTTAAATGAGATCTGTTAATGATCATTTTAAATGCCTCATTTGTGAAGTCTTTCAATATTTCAATCTGGCAAAACGATTGTTTGTCTGAACAGCAAAATAGGTTACACAACAAGAACTCATACAACAACAACCAATAAACTGACATCATGTGAAAGAGACATTTAAATAAATCTTGTAGTTTACAAAAAGCAGGCTACTCAGTGTGATTGCATCTGTACAAACACACATGGCAGTTGATGGTCAATCGACTGGGTTAAAGGGGAACAACAGGATTTACAGTTTACAGGTCTTGTGGAGTACTGCTGCATATGTGAAAATAGTTGTATACAGGTTTTTGGCGCCTGGAGAAATCTGATAAACTGACTCATGATGTGACTTCAACAATCGATGCATTGTGGGTAATGTAGGCGTCAGATTTGAACAAGGAGTCCAACAATGTTATAGGTGTTAAAGACTGAATTACTGGCTACCTTGAGTGAAAGCTGGATCACCATACACACTTAGGAATCCTACCTATCGACACCTATCTAATTTTGCATCACCAGAATAAGATCACAAACCAACAGCAGCCTAAAACACAAAAGCTTCACAAAACCACACTGGCTGTGGCACAGTTGTTGGCCGAGATGCCGATGCGACGGCGGCATGTGAACATTTTGCGGAGCTCAGCGCGGAAACGGTCATGGAGCCAGGCGTAGAGGAATGGGTTACAGCAGGATGAGCTCATTGCACACAGGTGACAGAGCAGCTGAATGAGCAGAAAGTATCGCTTATCAATCAGGTCAATGTCAATGTCACGCAGCACGTTGAACACACTGATGGGCATCCAGCAGACGCCAAAGGCTGCCACCACCAGGCTCACCAGCCGAAAAGTCTTGCGTTTGCGCATGCGCTGAGCCTCTGCCTGGCTCTGGGTGTGGTGGCCGGGTACCACACAGTTCCGCAGTTTGACAGAGATGCACAGGTATGAGATACAGAGCGCCGACAGAGGCAGGACGTAGGTGATGAAGAGAGTGCTGTACGCGTAAGCCAGCCGCTCCCTCTCCTGGCCCATCCAAAACTCCTCACAGATGGTGAAGCCCTCGTTCTTAAACTCCACGTGGTAGGTGTGAGCCACAGCTGGAGCCACCAGACCGCAGGACAACAGCCAGATCCCAGACAGAAGGTAGGTACATGCCAAGACTGAGATGCGCTTTTTCAGAGGATGAACTGTGGCATAGTATCTATGAAAGAGAAGATGTTAGCCTCAGTTCATTTGACCAGTTTGATTTGACGCATCTCTCTAAACTGTTGGGAAAAAATTGTGGAAACATGCCAAATATGAGTTAATCGCATGAGTAAAGAAGAATAGTATTCACAAGTCATCGCTTGCCGACAGCAATCAACACACAAATGACAGTACAGCTATTAAGCATCACAGATAATAAAGCCTAAAAAACGACCTCAGAATGAAATGCCAAAATGACAGTTTCCAACAAAACGAATCATTTTTTTTAACTTTGAACAAAAATCGAATTGAATTCAGCTCTGCCACTGAAACCAAGGTTTACAGACAAAGCAGGATTTGGGTTTCTGGCACATATCTTGCAAAGAGCACAAAGCTTTGGAGTCCTAAGCAATGGGGAAAAGTACATAGTCTGATTCATCATCTTCCATCCTTTTTGTCCTCCATCCAGGCAGAAACCCAAAGGATAAGGATATCTATTTAGAGTCATACAAGACCTGACTTTGAGAGATGGTTCAGAGAAGACTTGTGGCCCAAATTATTACAGTTATCCCTGTATTATGCTTGCATTTGTAAACCATAGCCCTAGAAACTCAGTTTAGTAATTTTGAGAGCTGGCATAAAAATCCACTACATCCAGGTGCTCACATTTGCATCTGCTGCTGCAATTTAGTGCAATTTTCTTCCAGGAAATAGTGAATAATGCACTGTATAATTTCTTTATTAAAGTGTAGTTTATAACAGAGTGACTAAGTACATCACTCCTAAATGCCTCAAGCTGAAAACCTCCCACTGTGTTGCTTTTGTTCATCAATGACACATTATACTGTCAGTGAAATGTAGCATGCATGTAAATAAGGTTCTACAGAATTTCCCTGGGAGGTTTATGTTAAGATTCTGTCCACAGTCCTCAGGCTCTGTATGATTTACCTATCCACAGCAATGGCAGTGAGAGTGAAGACTGACACGTACACCGTCACAGGCTGGATGAGGTACACCAGATAGCACATGAAGCGGCCAAAGACCCAGCCGTGTGGGTTGAAGGCGTAGGCCAGTGTGAAGGGGACACACGTAGCACACATCAGCATGTCAGAGAAGGCCAGGTTTCCGATGAAGAAGTTGGTGACGTTGTGCATCTTCCGGGTGCGGCAAATGACATAGAGGAGCAGATAGTTGCCAAAGACGCCCACCAGAGCCACCAGAGTGTAGCAGGGAATGATGAGCAGCTTGAAGGACTGCAGCAGCTCTACACCCACAAACTGGGGGCTGCGCTTGGAGGAGCCGTTCTGCAGTGCCACCTCAAAGACCTGACCGGTGTCGTTCCCGTTCACCTCATGCATCACACACGGGGGTGTGAGTTCAGCTGCCCAGCCGCTGCCTGTGCTCTCCATCCCAAAAGGCTGATGTCAATCTGGAGGTGTGAAATCATTATTACTAATGTAATTTATTTTGCAATAAAATATATAACACTGCCAAGTCATGAGTATGCTGAATACTAATGGACATTTGTTCCCCACTATTATAGACACCTTCATGCAGTTTTCTGTCAATTGAATTACTGAATTACTTGAACTGAATTACCTTCAGTGGAAATTTTCCCTTTCATTATAATCCTGTGTAAAGGCAGATTCACTGTTCCTCTAACCAATTATGATTGTCCTTGTGATGACATATTTTCAGTCCTGTGTAGCTCCAAAGAGAAACTCACTACAGACAGTAACTTTATTTTGTTAGAACATAAAATAAAATTTCTCTTGACTAACTACATTTAAAAACTACTACAGAGATGTGTTCCTATCTTTCTGTTTTAAGTCTTATTGCTTTAGTATAACCCAGGCATTATGTAGGCTGTTCTGTCACTGCCAGTCAGGTGCCTTTCAGTTATTTCAACACAAATGCTGAATGTTAAAGCAAACACTGCTGCATGACTCAGACCTGGTCCGGACTATTATCTATCTGCATGTGTTGTGTGCACAGCTGGGCAGTTGTTGGTTTCCAATTCGGTTTAATTTAAGTATATTTTAGCCAAACAGAGCAATTGTAAAGGAGATATGACAGCTTTGTAGGAAGTTGCCATAAATAGTGAGTGATGGTGATGAATTCACTCACTAGGTGATATGTGGAGTTTGCTCTTCAATCAGTTTTTTTCAGATACATAGAAAATGCATGAAAATTAAGACTGTCATGGGAATTGAATGTTATGAAACAATCCCTTTTGGAGGTTGTGGAACTGTACATTATTATTTGTCACATGGCCAACCCTGGCTGTTGCTGCTGTCTAGTGTCCTCTGAGTTCAAATGTGCTGGGAATCACATGGTGCAGGACACTTTAATAAAATCAATCTATCAATCAGCAGTGACGCATTTATCAAAAACGTATTTCATTTTCAATTTACTGTTCAGAGTTGCTAGTTAACGTAAAAGCCTTTTTGTGGTGTTGGAACATTTGAATTGACTAAAAATATTGATCTCTGTGAAAAGAGTGGGCAGTTATTACTGTATCTGGAGGAAGATATCTGCCTCAGATTCACCCAAATTGTCCCAAACCTCCACAATTATCCAGATGGCACTTTAAGAGTTACCAGAAGAGACATCGGAATAAGAGCCATGAGAAAGACTAAGGAACTGGACATAGAAAAAATAAACTTATTTCTCGATTTTAGTCGATTTTTAATAGCATATATTTTTTTACAGAGAGCTATCTCTTAAGTTACCTTTAATCTATTATTTCCATATATGCTCCTACTGATTTTACAGCATGTTTAATCAAGAATCCTCCCTGAAATCTCTCTGAGACAGAACAGCGTCTCTCACATCTCTGCAGGATTCCGCAGCTGGTTGTGAGCTGAACTGACGCGACAATATCAGATATAGACTGAACAGTAAATTAATTAAGTATTGCATGTAGGCTATAGTATTAATAATGCAGTTAGTATAGTCCGACATATGAAACTGCAACATTTGATTCACTCGTTGTTTTTGATATTTTTGTCAAGAATACATTATATATTTATACGCATTAAAAATGCACAAGTCACCGATTAGATTTTTGGGCTCCCAACTCAACTGCTGCATCTCTTCTATCGAGCAGAGTAAACACACGCTGAAATCGCGGCAGCATTATTCTGATATCACATTTTAACACTTAATTAAACACCCATCAGTGTAAGTAAGATTTACTGTAGCTTGTGTCTGTGCTGTGTCTCTCAAAAAAGAGATGTAGCATGAACTAACGACCATGCACAATAACTTCAAAGGTGTCTTTAAAAAGAAAAGATTTACATTTCAACACAGAATCGTATCGGAAAAACAATTTCACCCCTCGAATTGGGGGGGAAAAAAGTAGCACACATACCTACCGAGTGTTGATTTCTCAGTTTTCAGATGCAGAGTATGAGTGCGGGAGAGATCCAGCGCGGAGCCTCTGTGCGCCTCTGGAGAGATGCGCGCTTCTTACACAATGAACGCAAATGTGTCTCTGAGCGGCTCTACAGCCTCGCACCCGCACTCTGACCCTTCGGCACCTCAAGTGGGACTATAGCTTTGGATTGTAACTACGTATGTGGCACGTTTTTAAGCGTTAAGAGTGCGTTGCCAGGCCATCAACAGGTGCAGTTACGAGGGATGGCTCGCTTTTATATCTTTAAACTTGACTGACAGCTCTGATGACTGAAAGGACCCTCAGAATATATAAAGCCTCAACAAAAAATCATACACAAGGTATTTCCATGTGGTATACAGAAGTTATAATTGGTTCTATCCTTTCATTTCTTTTCATTTCTGCATTTGTATCCTCTATGGGCTCACTATAATATCCCTAGGGACTGCTATAAAGCAATACAAAGGAACCATAAAAGGACCAGTATTTGGAATTACTAATACAAACGAGCGATAAGCATCTTTTTATGTATGTCTAAAAAGGTCAAACTGTTGTGTGGATTAATGCAGAAGATGTCACTGCCACAGTGGCTCTAATGTTTGAACTGTCATCCTCCACTGTTCACAAATATTTGTAAAAGGGACCAAGGGGCAGGCTGATAAGGAGGTGAGGTGATGTCTCAATGCAGGGGAGGACAGCCAGAGATGGAGCTTGGTAGGTATGGTGTTTCATTTGTGCAAACTGACTCCCAGTTTCTCCTTAAACAAGCCAGGGCAGAGACAAAACAAGCATGGCTGTACGCTGGCATTAGTGGATTGATTCTGAATGAACACCCTGGTGTGAAGCCAGATGAGCAGGCCTCCTGATGTGACATTCACAGTGGAAGTTGTATTCGGTGTGTCTGAGGCTTTGGGGCATTCATTTAAAGCTAAAAGACTTTGGTTGTAATGAATAGAGGTTAACTTTCCCCACTCTCCTTCCTGCATGCAGCCAAAGCTCAGTTCCCTGTTAGCAGAATCTGTTCAGCCAACCAGAACGTATCCATGACATTATCAGAATAGGTCGAAACACAGAACAATAAAATACAACAAAAAAGCTGTGTTCAAATGAAAAAAAATACAATTCACACTCAATTTTCTGACTAAAATGTGTCATGTCGTTAAAGTCAGACTCAAAATTGTTGGTCAAATAATTAAAGGACCAGTGTGTAGGATTTAGGGGCATCTAGTATTCACTTCACCCTCTCCTTCCAAGCACAAAGTAAAAACTATGGTGGGCATGAAAAGCGCCCTTCTGGGCTACTGTAAAAAGATGGCAGTTCAGCGAGGTGGAAAGGCGACCTGTTGCATCTGTAGTTATAAAAGGCTCATTCTAAGGTAACAAAGTTAAGTGACTATACACTAATGAAAATATACCATGAATATTATATTCCATTTCTGCCAATAAAGACTCCTAAATGTTACACACTGGACCTTTAAATTGGGAAAGAATCAGGACAGGAAACTATTACTCTCTTGTCCCTCGAAGGACTTCTTCTAGAAACTTTGTCGGAATTATATTAGCAGCAAAGAGGGGTTTTCTTTCGAAAGCAAAAAATGTAATTAGGAAAGACGAAGATATGAGCTGTAGGGGAGATTTGCAGCTAGGCATACGTAATTGTTGAAAAGACTGTTTTTTTTTTCAACTTTAATGTAGCAGAACTGCCTTTTCTTGTTAAGTCAAGTTAATAAAACAATTCTAAGTTGGTTCTTTTATTGCTACTGGTTCCGACATTTGTCTGACGTTTATTGAAGGGTTTAATGTTTTTCAGCGAGCAAGGTTTTAGTCATACTTTGTGCTGTACAGGTACACAGCACAAAAAAGGGAACAACTAATTCCTGTGTCTGATTGTTTGTGCTAATAACTAATACATGGTCTTACAATGGTACACAGTAGATAATTGTGCTTGTTTCCCTGTCTGTGTGGTTTTAGAAAGTGTTTCTAGTTTCAAGGGCTTTGTATTGCCTTTGTCAAGTTTATACGTGCATTTTTTCAAATTCTTTTTAATGTATTCTTTATTTTTGCAAGGACCCACATATGTCTCTTTTCCAGTGGTGCCCCTGCAACAAATCAATACCACAATACTGTTGAGCTGCAGTCATCCTGTTTGACATTATATGCCTGATTTCTCTGTTACAAAACAAACAGACTTTTGTTTATTTACCACTATACCTAGGATTCACACCATAGGATTCACAGTACATGCCTGGAAAAAATATTGAAACAGAAAAATCCTTTAATCATTCTGAAAGGCTTCAAGCTACTTGATGCACTTTTGCCTGAATTGTGTGGACAAAAAATACTAAACTTGAAGAGCATAAGAACAATTTCAAGTCAAGGACAGCAATAACCAGTTTTTGAGAATTTCTAGTCTTCCACACGCCTCTAAACACTTTACACAACATGTCACATTCACCCATTTACACACTGATGGCAGTGGCTGCCATGCAAGGTGCCAACACACAGATGGCACAGCATCGGGGGCAATTTGGGGTTCAGTATCTTGTTTAAGGATCAAACTGCCAACCTTAACCTAAGTGGATGACACACTCTACCTCCGGAGCTACAGCCGTCCAAACATAAGACAGATAAACTCACAGTGATAAAGACAAACCATGTCAGAGGAATCATGGTCACAAACTAGAACTTACTGACTCCCTGTTAAGTGATAGACACCAGGCTACTCAGCACAACAACACTGTAGCTTTATGATTTACCAGACAGTGTTCCCAGCATTCAGAGAGCATTGTATTTTTTCAAGGCCAAACACACAGTGTGAGGAGTAAAGAAACATCAAACCCTAAACAATAAATACAAAGACCGGATGAGTCACCATGTTGGGTTTCTACCTGCAGGCAGCTTTACACTGGAGTCTAATGATTTAACCTGCAAAGCCTGTAGATAACTGGTAAGTATTGATTATTGCAAAATGTATGAGACTCTGTCTTGTCATATAGTCTCTAAGTCTCACTTATAATTATTTTGACTCAATCCATTTGAGAGGATCATCACATCCTATGGTGAACACACACTGCAGTCAATACACAGAGGTGGCAGAGCTCAACTTCTATTCATATATATGTTTTCATTAGTGTATATTCACCAGAATATAGGAATCGTGGTTTTGTTACCTTCGATTGAGTGGTTTTTATCTCCATCCGCTACTGGACACCTTCCACTGAGTCAGCCATGTTTCTACAATAGCCCAGAATGAGCAAACCAAACCACTGATTTAAAGGACCAAACCTTTTTCCTTTTCTATCATTGAGCAGATGACCCCCAACAAAGTGACATATTTTATGGATCATTCGCATTACATAATAATAACAGTAGATAAAAACTGACAACACAATAACGTTTGAGTAAAACCAGAGATTTGGATACATTTTGAGCAGTTTATTTCATTAGAATAGTAATCAGAGATGAGTTTTCCTGATATTTTTATATAATTCTCTGTCTGTATTATGTATTTTCTTTTCTTTTTTAATAAGCATACATACTTTAAAGGCTTCTCTTTTGACAAATTCAGTGTTTGAAATGCTGGAATATAGGCCTACTGTGTTTTCCTACACCCCTTAAAATGAAGGCTACGCGACTCCTAGTGGGGAGTAGTCCTCCTGGTTGGGAACCACTGCTTTAAACACTTGAAATCTTTCTATGGATTTTTCATGATGCCCATGAATTATGGCTTTAATGACCAGTGAAACACACATCTAGCCCACTAGATAGATATGTCGATAGATTGTTAGCAAGCTGGCGTGACTTTTAGCACACTAAAACGGAGGAAATAAAATGTATGAATGCATGGCCCTTTAGGGCTTCCATAAAAAAGGGAAAAAGTATTAGTAAAGTAAAAGTATTTTTGTCTCAGCTGGCTGGAGTGGTGTCCCTCAATTCAAAACTAGGGGGCACCATCAGGAAACCAATTTTCTCTTTTGGTTTCTGATTTTTTTTAGCAAAGAAAAACACAAGACAAGTGATATACAGAGCAGAAATATATGCTTGAAGCAGACAAAAAAAGCTATTTAGTTTTAGTCGGACTGGATGATATTGTCAACCTACTGATTTGTTAACAAAATGCTCAATTGCCCCCCTGGACGCCTGTTAATGTTATTATAACTGATGGCCAAAGCTATAGAAATATGTCCCTCAAGCACAGCTGTTATTTACTGGTAGACTCACAAACTGAGTGGGTCAGAATCAGGTTACATCTGAATAAAAATGACACAGTGATGATAATGCTTTACAACCTAATGCAAACCTGTTTAGTATTTTAGAGCGACACTGTAAAATCATAAACATGACCTTTCAGCTACTAGATGAACAGAATTAGATGGACAACAAACCCAATTTACAGATAGTAAATATATTACAGAATAGAACCCAAAGCTCAAACCTGAATAAAGCTTTATTAAAGATTCAAAATCTCATAGGCCTATCCCCGAATCAGAAGAGGCCCTTTTGTAAAAGCTTTTCATAGTTCAGTCGAACGGCACGCATGAACGAAGCACTTTATAATTACTATTATTGCAGGGCCAGATAATTCCTGTGTTATTTTTGCTCCACTTGAAATGAATTATTATGTTTCAAGGGAATAATTTGACAATAATTGTCATTCAGATTGTGTTGTAGGCTTGCTTTTTTTGATGGTAATAGCGTTAGTTACCTCAGTATGGGACAAATCACTGATCACTGTCAATCAGAACATCTTTTTCTGCACTGGAGGACGAGGCCAGTGGATGAACACCTGAAGTCATTTACTCCTCTGACAATAATAAAGCTGCTCTGTGTCCACTCAGTGGTACTCCATGTGTCCTAGATTTTCTACCTTGATTGGCATCTTGCTGTGACAATTCAGGGATCTGCTCAGACAAGACAAAGTTCAATGAATATTATTTAGACAGCTATCTGGTATGTGATTACTCCTTCAACAGCATGTCACTGCTTGTCAAAAACAAAACAGTAGTAATTTACATGCTAAACAAAAAAGTGCTGCTGAGGAAAGTCATCAGTTTTGTAAGTAGTTAAAATGTAAATTTTACCTGATAATAGACGGACAGACTGACAACTAAAATGGGTAAGCTACCACTTTGGCTCTTTGTCAAATGTTTAGTTGTTAAAAGTTGTAACTGATGGCTTTTTTAAAGGACCAGTGTGTAGGATTTAGTTGAATCTAACATGCGTCTGTATTTGACAGCATGGGAATGAGAACAGGCTGTGGAGTGTGTGGGAAAAACTATAGTGGCAATGACACTCACTCCTAGTGTAGTTTAACACTACATGCCACATTCACCCATTTGCATGCATCCATACAGCGATAGCAAAGGCTCATCACAAGATTTACCATTCATAAATTCCATTTGAATGTGGTATAAGAAATGCCATGGCCAAATTTTGAGTAATAGTGTCTAATTCATATATTTAGGAGCATTTCAATATGTTTTCAATATTTATATCTGATAAAATGCCTAAACCTAGTGTTTGAAATGTTGGTATATAAAACATTGTCTCTATGGTTCACACTATTCATATTGGCCTATTTGTATATCTTTTGGGATACTCAAGTTTTAACTATAGTTGTGGTCCAGTCTTGTCTGTCATAAATTTAAATATGACTCACAGGTAATGCTGAAACATTAACTGGAAACCAAGCGACACATTTCTCCCATTAACGCTTGGTTTTTGCAGACTGTGTAAGTTCAGTTTCCATGGTAATATTTGTAGACAATCCTCTTCATTCATGTATGCTGCAATAACTGCATGTGAAACGTTAGTATGCATGTAAACAACTTACCCCAAACTTGAAACCTGTGATATGAGTATCTGCAACCCTTCGTACATGTAAGCATGCTCAGATGCAAATCAAAGGGCTCTAGACTGCGTCTAATGGCTCCGACTCTGTATGATAGTGGATGCGGATGATTATCCTCGCTGTTCACCCGAGGTCACTGAAATGAAAAGAGTGGGCATGCTGCCTCCATTAAATACCTTGTTCCAACCTGTTTCTCAGAACTAAACCGCAAATAGTAACAATAGTGGAATAACTCAAAAATGAAAAGAGGGCTCCTGTGGATATAAAATTTGTTAGATAAAAGCCGAGTGTTTTCCAAAAAATTATGTTTTTCTTTAACAAAATAAGAAAATAATAAAAAATGTTGTATCGCTCCATTACGACCACAGAGGATGATAGAGGAGAGGATTACTCATTGATGTTTCTCAGATGAACAATCATTTGCTGTATAATACATTCACATCAGTTGGAAATGTTTCAGTGGAAAGGAAATGTTACTTAAAACAATATTTGGACCATGTAAAACAGTAAAACAGTAAACCCCCCAAATAATCCAATACAAACACAACTCTTTTCAGAATAAAAGTCAGCATGTGGGAAGCACCAAATCTCTTAAACCTGCAGCATCCAGATATTATTTTTGAAGTAAAATGATTTAAGTACATATAACATATGTTTGCGTAAGAATGCGTCAGACTCAAAAGAAGCACAGACGTTGTGACAACGTTTAAAGTCAAGCTTGTTTATTCAGCAAACACATGAATTATAAATGCAGCTGAGATCTGCTGCGTACACAGCATGTGTTTTCAATAGAGAGATTTATGTTTCTGACGGATGTTCACAGACACTGAAAGGAATCCTTGAAGCAAGAAAGAGAGCACCCTTTTGCTTTGGATGCAGTAAGCAATATATGGCGGTTTGTCTAAGGCTGATCCCTCTAAAGGTTACTCTTGGACCATTAAGCTCTTGATTCACCTTGTTTTAAAGAGTGCTGGTGAGTGTGATCATCACCTACTGTACAGAACATGTTGTTACTAACAAAGCACAGTATATAGCCACTAAAAGATGCTATACCTTCTTTTGATTTCACAAAATTCCATCTAGAGCAAATCAATCAACTCAGATTAACGTAAAGTGACACACACCCATTCATGACATTAACCTCACATGCAAGTCTACTACATATGGAAAATAAAAGTTCGACATCATGGGGAATGCACTTACTGGTAATCACTTTCTTGCAGAGAGTCTGATGAGAAGATTGATCTAATTGATCGAAAAGCAAGCAGCCTCTTAGCCTACATTACAGACAAATGGGGGAAGCAGCCAACACTTCTACAACTGAGTAATTCAAATGTTATATCTAATTTGTTTAATCACAACAAAACCTGAAGCTTAAAAAAAACAAAACAATTTGTGGTTTGTCATTCTGTCACACACATAACTTGTATCGATTAATCAAACCAAATCTAATATGCTGATTTTGAGCTTCTGGAGGTCATTTTAGATGGATTTTGTTATATTTGGACAGAGCTAAGCTAATGAGTTAAGCTAACAAGCTGCTGGCTTTAGCCTTATAGACTTATTGCCTGGTTCTGGCAGACTACAACAAATAAACACCAAAACAATATCATGTATAAATATAAAATATACAGTTTAGTGTGTAAGTCTTTAAGTGACTGGCAGTGTTTTACAGCAGATAAAGGAACAAAACTGTAACAAAAGAATCCACTGCACTCATATTGTTTCATTTGATATAGACAGTGGTGGAAAATAAGAAAGTACATTCACATTTCTGTCTTAAGTACAATTTTCTGCTACTTTACTGTAATTCTATACAAAATATATTCAACAAATAAATGATGATGTATTATTATAGGCTAAGACAATACTTTATTCATATGCAAAAGCTACCCAGCTGTACATCAATTAATTAAATGTATCCCCACCTTTACCAGCTGCAACATTAAAGCAATGCGTACATTAATCACCATCAATAATCATAATCCAATAATATGATATCCATTATTCTAAAATGGGCCATTCTGCATATCGAGTACTTTTTATTATGATAATTTAAGTGTTCTTTAATGTTAATATTCTTTTCTGAATGCAGGACTTTTACTTGTACTGTGGTATTGCTACTTTGACTAAGTGAAATATCTGAGTACTTCTTTCACCACTCTACATATACCACACACAGGACACCTGAACTCATCTCATACTCATGTTTTCTCAATTGAAGGGTCATAACAGTCTGGTCTGTGTCACAATTACTAATAATTGGACCTCTGTCAAGAAAAGTAAGCAGCAATGCAAAAAGCAAACCTATAATTCCATACATTTTTTCTGTATGATTAACAGCATTTACTGTGCAATAGCTGGAGCTGAAACACTATGATGAACTTGAAATTGAGCCTTTCAATGTGACTAATGAAAAGTTCAGTCAGGCTGAAAAGCCACTAGGACACTGATTTAATGATCAAAAGCCACATGGTCAGAGTGAAGTGGTCAGAGCCAGATGGATAGACTCGGTTATATAGTCCAAGTTACCACCGTTGATTGCACTGACATTTAGACAGCCACCAGGGAGCAGGTACACGTGTCTCCTGTTCGACAGAAATTCTACCTGCTGACCTAAAGTAAACAAAAAAGAGAGTATTTAAACAAAATCTTGATCTGGAAAAACATTCTGGTAGTCCATGTAAATAAATGTATTAAACATTAACAGTCATTTCTACGGAGCCCCTAAAGGGACATGAAAAAAAAAAAAAAAAAAAATCTAACGTTTCTAGTGCGCACTAGATAGTATCTAGTGCTCACTAGATACGGATCTAGTGCGCACTAGATACGGATCTAGTGCGCACTAGATCCTATGGATGGAGTGTTGTGGCGAATCAGCACATGGCTCATTTAAATATTAAAATTAGCCATGTGTTAATAGGTCACAACACGAAAATGTAACCAATGAAATTACTTATTTTGACACACATTTTAAGCCAATACTTACTACTATCTAGTGCGCACTAGATACTATCCATATTGTGGTGAATCAACACATGGCTAATTTTAATATTCAAATGAGTATTAAACTAATTTGTCTGTAAGTAAAAAATAAATGTAAATTAATCTGTAACCTTTTTTATTACAGTCCGCATTTAAATGCCTGTCCTCCTTTTGAGAAAATAACAAAAACAGTCCACCTTTTGACACATTACCTTGTTAGTTTAATACGTATTGGCTTAAAATGTGTGTCAAAATAAGTAATTTCATTGGTTACATTTTCGTGTTGTGACCTATTAACACATGGCTAATTTTAATATTTAAATGAGCCAACACTCGATCCATATCTAGTGCGCACTAGATACGGATCTAGTGCGCACTAGATACGGATCTAGTGCGCACTAGATACTATCTAGTGAGCACAAGATACTATCTAGTGAGCACTAGATACTATCTAGTGAGCACAAGATACTATCTAGTGAGCACAAGATACTATCTAGTGCTCACTAGAAACGTTTCATTTTTTTTTTTTTTTCATGTCCCTTTAGGGGCTCCGTACATTTCCATTGTTAAATAATCAAATTAAAAAAACATTCCCTGCAAATCCTTTAAATGACTGCTGCATATGTGCAATAACTGCATATTATATTCAAACAGAGCCAAGATGTCAGGCCTTGGTTGAAAGCAATTAATCTATAACAATGTACTGTAAGCGGCATTTATCTACTTGAAAAGATTATACAAAAGAGCTCAGAAAAGAGAGAGCTGAGAAAATGAATATCAGACAGTGTTTTGTTTTGTGCAGTGAATCATTTTCTTTATATTTGAAAAATAACTCTATAAAAGTCCAACATGGCAGCAACTATTTAGTACTCACCATTCAAGCCTGTACAGCAGAAGAGTCCACCTTGTTGAGTCAGGTGATCCCAGCAGCCTGGAGTTCCCAAAAGTCTCAGCCTTTCTCTCAAAATGTTTCTGATCAGCATACATCTCTCCACAATGCACTTTACTTCTCTCTGCCTGGGAAAGACAAGGGACAACATTTGGGAAATAATATCTATTATTATATAATTCAATATCAGCAAAAAATCAAGGGTGCATTGTGGAAATTAAGATTTTATGACTAGTGCCGTTAAATGCTTAGGACGCTGCCAGGTAAACATCACTACGGACATCTACACATACAGTAGCAACATGGCCGTCCAAACAAATACCAGATTATTCATTCCAGTGGGACGTGACTCACCATTCAACAAGATGGGCTGGGTTACTGAGCACTGTGGCAACAACATGTGCTCCTCCGACAGATGGCTGGGCCCACAGGGATCGGACTATTTTGTCAGCTTTAGACTGCACAGATAACCGGTGTGAGTTCTGCTTCGAGACGCACAAGAGGTGTCCGACAGCTTCACCTGGCGAGAGAGAGGAAGAAGATGAGTCTGATGTAAAGAAACACCATGTTCTCACTTCCTCTTAAGTTTTTGGTATTGAAAATAAAATCGAAGAGGGACACTTTTGAATTGGAAAATAAAATTCGCCACCCAGTTCTGGGCAAGAATATTCACCAGGTCATACAGAAACAAGACACAGGCTGATCTGCATGACAATGAATTACCTGCTAGGTGGAGAAAGAGTGTAAAATTGGAGGGCAACACAAAGCGTGACTGTGACTCCGTAAACACTATGAGTGTATTTCCTGGCGAACAATAGGTAAGACATGAATACATATGCTCTTGTCTGTTTTCAGTTGCACTACGAGCTCATTTTTGACATGTGGAGTCCCTTGGCCATAGGAGTGACACGCATAAATCCATGGAATGAGAGATATTCTAAACATCAATTCCTCACCATATAGTCCAAAGCAGTGGGAGAACGACTGAGCACAGAGGAGCTCCATCCCCTGCGATGCACAGTACTGTACAGGCCAGGCATCCCGCTCTAAATCTCCATTGCAGAGTGCCTGGGCAGGCAGCAAGAGGAAAGGGAAAAGCCTACGCCTCTGTTGAAACAGTGCCAGAACAGCAAATGATGATCTAAGTAGGAGTGAAGAACTACTTGTCTGATAGAAGATAATTTTAGCCTCTGCTTAGAGCTTAAATGTACATGTCAGTCACCATGACGAGTTGAGTAATCACAGCCCATTGATTCTGAGAAAGGTCTGCTCCGGTTGGGTAGTGGGCAGATGCTGAGAGAACAACAACACTTCGCTCCGGAGCCCTCTCCAGATCCTCCAGAAGCTTCTCCAAACAAACGCCCCGCTGCTTGTCATCCCAGTAATAATACTCACAGATATCTTGGATCCCTGCTGCCTGGAAGATACCAGCCAGTGAGTCTGCAGGGAAGATCAGGACGAAACATTAGATACCAGCAGCAGTACAAACTCCACAAGGTGAATCCTGCTGTAAGCCCCAGGATGTAATTACAGTGTGAATACTATTTTGTTTGGAAATAATTGAACTTTCCAACCTTCTGACCTCCAGTCTTGGCTAGACTAGTATTTTTGCAGTTTTCCATTGCTGTCTCTATCACACACTGTATATTTTCAATTATCATAATATTAAATTGAAAATGAATTCACACCACGTGCACATCTTATCTGTACATTTTTAAGCAATGCACATAACACATTTCTCAGCCCTTACGTCTGTGCGGCAAGACACATTAAAATCTCCTACTCCCAATAAATCCTGTGTAAAGCAGTGACTATACTGAAAGGTGTAAAATCCTCTCAATGAATGTCTGACACGTTTGCCTCCATATGATCGACCACATCTTCACATTTTGTCTTCACTGTAAGGTCAACTTCTATCCCTCAGAAATCTTCTTATGTGTGTGTCACAGTAACTTATGTTGATATACAAGAATCCGGTGACCACTTTCTGTGTTTTGCCATTACTGCAGTGGCAAGTTGTTGTGTCTGACAACAACACGGGTAATTGGATTGACAACATTAGGCCGTGTCCCCCGTTACTGATGAGGGTACCTTATATGGATGGGATTCTTAGCGTTATTCAAATTTTACATATTAGAAATTTTGTTTAGACAATAGCCAGAAATAAAGAATGGAGAAATATTGCTATTTGTGCATGCACAATAAAGGGCAATTTTGTGGTCATTTTCTGTGATTTTTCGTGTTATATTTGAACAAACTCCTCCTAGGGAATTTATCAGATCTACTTCAAAATTGGTCAGCGCAGTCAAAAAACATTGCTGATTAAAAGTTGTGCTATTTGTGACTGTACGTTGGAGGGCGTGTCTGTGGCGTGCCGTCAAAGTTGGCCAGGTTGAATCGAATGTCCAACTGTGATGCCATTTCCGGCATTTCAGGGCTTCTATTTTAACTAACTCCTCCTACAGATTTTATCAGATTGACTTCTTTTGCAGTGTCTGAAACGCATGATAAAGTAGAACTGTCTCCCCCTTAGCTTCCGGCAAAGAGGGTTTGGGCGTGGGGCGACATGGTGTGGTGTGGTGCTGCTGTGGTGGGCAACCGCCGTTCAGGCCCCGAAGTGGGGAGATGGCGAGGTCCCGCCCAACGCTGCTTGCAGCTTTAATTTATTTATTTTTTGCCTCTACTGTTGGAGCAGAAGATAACTGCACAGGTTCTTTCTGATTTCATAGACATCGTTGTTAAAAGTAACATACATAGGAAGTAAAGGTAAAAGTAAACAAATTGTGCATTCAAATGCACATACTGTATATTGTAGGGAGACGCCACTGCAGTAATGCCGACTTATTTACCCTGTACTTTCATTGTTTACCAATCATTTAACATGGTATTTGTGGTGTATATGAGTCATCCTCTAGTCTTCTTAATGACATGATGGTAGTAAATGAGTAGCGCATACAGTTGCAATCACCACAGTACAGAGTGGGGATGTAACAATACACTCAACTCACGATTCAATACAATTCACAATATGATTTTCTCACAATTGTTTTGACAAAATGAGATTAAAAAAGGTTATTTCTCAGACAAAAATCTACAAAATATATTTTCTCTTTATTTCTGAGGTAGTGTATAAACTGTGAAAAAATATCATTCACTTTTCAAAAGGGAAACTGAAGTCTTCGCACCTTGATACCACAATTCATTTTTCATCTCACTGATTTGAATCTTGTTTTGTGAAATATCTTTACAAAGTACAGCATGTAATTTATGTTTTAAGAGCCCAATCTAACTGAATCTATCCAACACACTTGTGGTTGTATCTTTAAATTCTGTTGAGAGGAAGTGAGCTTTTTTTTACCATCACAAGGGGAAGAGAGGTAGACGGGCCCGCACCAAGCAGCACAGGCATCATACCAGTGTTTCAAGAGTTCTGCCCCAAGACGAACAGCAGCAGTAAAACCGGGAGTCTGGACACCTAATACCTGCAACAAAGGTCAGGAGTCTTATTATCAATATGTCTGATGGTAAAACACTTAGGTGCTGATTATCTATTGATTTTTACAGCCTGGATGTAAATCTATACCAGAATAATTAGAGGTTTCTGCACAGGGCCACCAGGTAATGACAGTGCTGATTGATTGGATGGTTAGGTACTGGCTACTGCTTCATCTCTGTGTGCTTGTGGCTGTGCAAACAGAAGTGTATATAGGCTAGAATCAGTTATGGTATTTATGTCTGTGCTGAAATTACCCGGTTCTCGATTACAGCCCGAGAGCTCTTCCCCAAAGCAACATCTGTGGCTTGCTGGCTGAATTCTGTCAAACCAAAACAAGGTGGATACTCCGGACGTAGAGTGGTATCAGCGCTTAGCTGCTGCTTTATTTTTCCAACAAGACGCAGTTCAAAGGTCTTCCCTTCCTCGCTGTAATACTCTGCGAAAGACAGAGTTTTACAAATCCATCATCCAACAAAACACTGCATCAAACTGCAAAAAAACCCCGAGAATATCAAAGTAAACTGGAAAAGAAAAGAAAGGTAATTGATTACACCCAAAAATAGAATTAATATACTGTATACTATTTCTTAAATGTGTGCATTTTCAGTTTTAAAGGTCCAGTAATAAACACCACTAAAATGTTTTTACAGTAGCCCAGAACAGACAAACCAAACACTGGTTTCTCCTTTGCGCTTGGAAGGGGGTGGGGGTAAAGTCAGGATATGCAAATACACCACTAGATGCCACTAAATCCTACACACTGAAATATTAATTTATTAAAGTGATTTATAGTTATTATGTCACAGAAACAAGCAAGCCAACTATCAGGTAAAAAGTTTAAACCAATGTGGTAATGCCTTAAGGATATGCTTAAGAAGTTGTCTTAGTAGATAGTTTATTGTGCTGTATGTCAGGGTAAAGATTTAAAAAAAAGTTGTACTATTAAGAAGATAATAAGTTAGGTAAGTTAGGCTCCAAACATCTGACCATGAGAGGGTTTCTGAATGCCTCTCACTTTGTCCCTGTTATGCACAAACCGAGGACGCAAATCCTGGAGCTGGAACTACTTTATTATGACAGAACTAAATACTATCTGTATTTATTGATTTTACTGTAATTCTGACTCACTGTGAGCTCTCCATTTAGGAGTAATACCTTATTCAAAATGTCTGTGAGTCAGTAATTAAATCGAATAATTCAATGTAAATGGACTACGGAGGCCATCTATTCAATTATGCTGACAGAAAGCTGATGGAGCCACACATAGGCACACCATTTTCATGCTAACGTTATATTACAGCTGCAGTGAATGCCATCTCAAATAATGTGTTTTTGACTAACATTACACAACATTATGTCTGAGTAAGATCAGCTGTCTAACATTAGAAAACAGAGCGCACATTCATAATTAATTTAATTAATTCATGCAAATGGGGAGCGGGGGAAACCCGTACTGCTCTGCTCTGGTTCCCGCATTGAAACTCTTAAGAACCAGGATAGATAAACGCAGGTGACCGGACTCACCTCTCCCTGCCAGGTAAACCTTCCTGACGTCAATGTCTCTCTTGAAGGCAGACAATAGCCTTGTTTCAGGTCTCACTGCTGCGGTCAAAGTGTCGGTAAGCACGGAGAGATGACCTCCTGGGTCTCCATTTTTGTTGACCCCTCTTTCATCAGGTCTGCTGCCAGGTCGGCTCATCTTGAACCCAGCCAGGCAAATCAGCCCGCTAGCTGCGAGCCTTTTGTTTAGCCTCTGTTGCCAGGGCTACGGCACGTATTTAGATACTGTCACCCCGGCAACGGTGATGGATGAGTTTGTCACCAGCTAATTTGTGGCCCTGGTGAGTTTACTTTCGCCGTCGCAGTGTGCTATCATTCAAATAGGCTAGTCTGTCTGGAAAATGAAAGCATCAGTTTTTGGTAAAGACGAGACAAGAGCCAAGTGTATTTCTCTTCAGCATGTAACGCTGATAACAAGTCAGTTCAAAGAGGAGCCTCTGCTGCTCATTAAGGTTTGTTTTGGTGGGTTTTTCGAAAGGCCTGTAGCCTCTTTAAATTAATTAAGTCACAATGGCTTCGACAGGGAGTCAAGAGGCAGCATTTAATTGTACTGTTGCGGGTTCACACAGTGTGTGTAAAATCAGTATGAGCTGCACATATTCTGCAGTGGGTTTCTTGATTTCATGGCTTCCACTGATCCACGTTTGTACAGAATAGATATTTTTTTAAACCATGGCTTTTCAGCTTTTTATCTCGATTGTAGAATTATTTCCTCTGTAATCTGAATTCGCTTCTGTCTAAGTGGTAGTAGAGTCGTACTCCGTATGTGCCTATACCAGTGAAGAAACGACACTGAGCTTCCCTACAGTGCACTTCGAGTTATAACAAAGGATGTATGATGCACAAGCACTGTAGTCTGCTTGTGGATCTGCAGAAAGAGAGCTTTTTCTTCTGGGCAGAAAGCTGAAGAATAGTCATTTCATGAGGATGAAGAATACGCAGGGAATTGAGAAGTAAAAAATCTTACAGCTTTTTTATGGAAGAGAAAATCACTCACTGTATGAAGCTGGTAATCACAAATAACTGCACTAGATGGCAGTAGATGGCCAAATCAGGCAGTTAGGCTTGTCAATTAGCTCCCCAGGAGCAATTTGAAAAAGAATAGCTAATTGAAGAGACACACTCTGCCTCAGTCTGCCTCATCCACTGTACTCTGTGTTATGTCTCTGCATACATGACAGCTTGCAGAGAATCAGCTTCTTAAGCAGCAGCATCATGATGTGTGTCAGTGGATTCTGAGGCAACAAACAGGGAGAGATACATCCTTTCCTAAAATGTAATGCATGCCTTGTGTTCAGCTGTCAGCAGAGTGAATCATATCGTTCTGCTGTCTGTGATATCTTTCCTTCGTTAAATGTCAGTACATGATGGTGAGAGTAGAGAAAAGAGACTTTCATTTCATCCTGATGGACTGACAGCAAAATATTTACCTTTGACTTTGTCAATTGCTGTGCTTGTTTTCTTCCCATCAAACCACATTGTTACTGCAGAGGAAATATCTGTGGTAGGCTTTCTGTTTGCACAGTTGTCTGTGGCAGTAAGAAAAATTGCAGTCTAACAACAAAATGGACCCAGAAACACGGTATAAAGTTAACAGCAAAAATTCCTATAATGAAGCCTATACGACTCCGGGCTTGTGGTCATCTGAGAAAAATACATCTCTGGATTTCTATATCTACTATACTGTCATATAATGATGCTACTATTAATGTGAGTAGTAGAAAGAGGGTGCCATGGCAGAGGTTGAAAGCTGGACCCATTGGTATGTGCCTCAGTCATGCTACCATGTTACCAGCATGAATCCACGATACTTTATCTAATTAAGGGGCTGTTGACTCAATTGAATTTAAGGGCTCCTAACTGGTGAGCTCTGGAGTCTAAATTTGGCGTCAAAGGACTTTTTTTTTTTTTTTGCCTGAAATGCCGCTCTGTGTTCTGAAAATATCTGTCTGTCCTGAAGAAATCTGTGCTGCAACACTGGCTGGGGACAAGTTGTTGGCACAGGCACACAAAGTTAAAGTCAAGTGATTTGCATGTGCAATCAAGAGAAGAGAGAGAAAGAAAAAAAAAAATGCTGCACACTTCAAAGCATGATTAAACACATTTAATCAAACACCAGTGTTTGATTAGCGTGCTTTTGGTGTGATTAATAGAAAACACTGCAAACGCATCCCTTCAAACTGATTCCAGTAAAACAACATGGCATGTAATTAGTATTCAGTCATTTGGAGTTGACAGTTTTCCTATGTGGAAGAGCTGCTCCTTCAACAAAGCAAGTTTATGGTCTAAATGTGTAGTGCTGTTAGTGTTGTAATGTTATAAAGAGTTCGGTCTAGACCTGCTCTATTTGAAAAGTGTCCTGAGATAACTTCTGTTATGAATTGGCGCTATACAAATAAAATTGAATTGAATTGAATTGAATTGAATTGTAGTATTTAACATATTTTTATGACGGTCCTATAATGGTGAATATCATTTGTATATGATGTATCACTTTTTGTTTCCTCTATTAATATCTTAATCTTACTTGTGGGGGCTTATATTTTCTTTTAAAAAACGAGAAGTTCAGAATTGATTTCAATCTAATCCTGCTCATGGAAAACATTGTAACAGGAATCAGCTGATAAGAATGTGCCTTAACTCTCAGACAGGATAATTGTTTCCACTCCGAGTTGTTGTGGCGTTTTTGCTGGATGATATTTCAGTAGTCACAGAGCCCTTTCTAGCAGAGTTAATGCTGGTCACAGTTTGTTTTAAAATGTCACTGGTTATGTTCTTTATTTATCTATTAAAGTCCCAAATCTTGTAAATTCCTCCCATAGCACGATGCCTGCTCAAACAGTAGCACAGCCAGAGATGACAGCGGTGTCAGCTGGCGCAGGATTACTTAAAAGATAAAATTAAAAAGTTGTTTAGAATTGTCTCTTGAGCTCATATCAACAGTAGTTTTACACTGATTATGTGTCCTCAATGTCAACAGTCATATCAGAATTCATGTGACTTTTTTCATTCATCATGTGGGTCACTTCAGGACTGTGACCTGTTCATGCTGGAATCTGATGTGGATCACATTTACATTAAATTTTTTTACATGATTTACCTAATTACTATAGTTGTGGGTTTGCACACAGAGCACAGGTGACGATGTTACACAGTTTTTATAATATTTTATTTCTCAATGCAACAGATGATTTTGTGTAATCAATAATGCACAAGAAGGTGTCCTGATATAACAAAATAATGGATGAGACATTGTCTCTAACTCATTCATTAATTTGTTATATGGGATGCCTTGTTGTTTCCTCCATCAAGACCATTATTTTTTCTATATTTGGACATTTCAGACATTTCAGTTTGTTATTGAGCTTATAACATGGCTGCTTACCAAAGGAAAATAGGTCAGGAGTTTACCAATACCATGGGTTACCTGCAGTTTATAATACTGTACCTTGCACAATGGTTTAAACTGATGGTTAACTGTTGACAGGAATGATGTTTGAGGTGTCCTGAACATTTTCAATAGCTCTGGTATAACTTAACACAGACAAGCGGATTCAAGCAAGATAAATATTGTGCGGATACAGGCTCAAAACAGAAAGATTAAGACTGAAATCAGACACCAGAATTGAATATTTGAATGCACAGCCCTTTGGTTTAGCTGATATTACATTGATGAGTTTGTGCCATGAAAATGAATGTTTCTTAACTGGACAGTGAAGACAGCCTTGCCAATTATGACCTTGTTTTAAGTTAGACAACTAATTTTGCTACAGCTTCAGTGTATCATAAATAGATAACTTACCAGATAATATACTGTACAAAATTAGTTTATAGTGTAATTCTTGAACCGACAGGCCACATACACTGTGTCCAAAGGTTTTGCTGGAATGCATTTAAAACTTGCAGTTATTAAGTATTGTCTTTTGCAAACGGTATTTAGATGACACTAGGAGGCTCAACTTTGGTGTCACCTAATGTCTGTGAAGTGCTGAGTTGCAGTGGTCCATCTCTTGTCCACAGAGACAACTGCGATGTTCCTGTCCAGACCAAATCAGCTGTTTGTCGGCAGTCAATCCAGTCATCCGTTTCATTCAGCTGGGTTTATCGGGGCGCCTGCTGGTTGTCCTTTCGGTTGTCCTCGCTGCAGTTTGGTCTCAGCCTTTGTGAGAATCACAGTATCAACTGGAGAACATAGTTTGCTTCAGTAGCTTGACATTTTACAGTTCATCCGTGCTTTTCCTCCATTGTGAAGCTGAAATGAGATGGATATATTAGCATCTAGTGTTTCCATTGAAATAAATGCCCCTGCTACAATAGACATGAGTGTGTTTTATAAAGTGGTAGACAGATTAGGTGACATCACATTGGGACTAATGTCATTGTAATTGGTGTGGCATTCTGTTTAGCAATCGTGCTATTTAGTCTCTATTAGTCGCTAAATGTTAAGTTAAAAGAAATTATATTATTAAGTAATTAAATTACCCAAAATGACAAGATCCAACATTCATTTGTAAGTATGTCTCTCGCATTCGCCTTTTTATCCCATGACTTCGTTAAATTCTCATTATATCTTTGACTTGGTGTGCAGCTCTATGAGATGTGAACAAATGTGTTTTTTTTTCTGTGTTACTGGAGGAGTTGTTGGTCTGTGCTGGTCACACCCTGCACAACATTTAAGTTTCTATCAGATAAGAAATCTCCAAGACAACAACAGCGGTTTGTTGTCTTGCAGGTTATTTATAAGTATGTTGTTGCAGTTAGAAAAACAGCATTGATATCATCTCTGCACCTGTTCCCTTTCATTTCCTTTTCTCTTTTTTTTTTTGTTAATTAGAGAAAGCTGTTGCAAAGTTGCCATCATCTCTTTATCCTTTGTGAATCTCCTGTGAAACCTTTTCCCCAACAAGACAGGAATTCTGATGCTATCGCGTCCACTGTACATGTCTCCACAGGACGACATAAATTACCTGGAACTGTAATCTTCACAGAAAAGTGAATGCATACGGGAAATTTTTTTTGCAGGGAACAATTCACAGTGTGGCCTCGTCCCAGTTTAAACTGATGCATTTGGATGATTTAATGGCAAAAGACTCCAGGAATAATATTATGTTATACATTCTGTTGAATCTCACAGTCACACACGAGTTGTTGGATTATTTTAAATCACAAACCACAGACATAGCTTGCACATATTCTGTAGTC